AAATTTAATATATATCTTAAAATTTTAAATACTTAGCATCAAAAGTTTGTTATAATTTTTTTTGAAAACCACAATTACATCCACATAAATTATGTGAAATAAATTACTAGAATGTTGCCACATTGTGAGTGGAAAAAACTCAAATTCCACCAAAAGATTATTTTATGCTACATAACAATATTCGCATTAAAATAAATTTAAATATTTGCTAATTCAGATTAATATTTATCAAATTGTAATATGTTTCTTATACTGTTAAGCATTTTTAGATTAAAATAATGAACTTTTTGAGAAAGAATACCTAATTTTTTCATTCAAAAAAAAAAAAAAAAAAGTAAATCACACTGTGGCCAAAGGATATACATATATCAAATCCTCTTTTGGGCACTTGTCCGTAGTGAAAGCGGTCCTCAAGTAGTTAGACACGTGAGGGTGGCAATAGGCTCGAATAATAGCATGTGGTCATTCTTTAAAATGTGTGTGTGTGTGTGTATGTATGTATTAGACATAATGAGACAAAATTATCACGTGTAAACCACCAAATTATTGGTGGGAAAAAACTCAAATTCCACCTATAGTTTATGCAGCCTTGATTCTATTTATATTTCTTTCTTTATACCAGTTAAAATATGCAAGAATTAAAGTTGTGAAATGTCAAGGAGCATTTCTGCGGCTACCCCTGTTCTTATCATCTATAGTCATCTCTTACAAATTCCACTGATAAGTTGTTGAATAACTTCAAGTTGGTGGTAAAAGTTACAAGAAGATGGGACTAGCGTTGGTGTAAGTGACAAGGACTGGGACTGGTGGACTGTCTCCTAACTTCTACATTACGGAAGTCAAAAGAAACTTTTTTTTAGAATATTTAGAAAGATTTACATTATATATATACCTCATATTTTTTTCTTTTATGTATTTACATATCTAATACTTGAAACTTTGATATTTGCATTAATATCATTTTATTTATACATGAGAATAGCATAATTTATACTTTCTTAAAGTTAATAATAGTGATATATTTAATGTGATATTAAATATTTAAGTGTTATTAGTATAAAAAATGAAGGTTTAGATGTTCAATTTGTAAATTAAAAAGATTTATTTAGTCTGAAAGTAAATCCAAATATATATGAATTTAATGTATGAAAAAATAATATCAGAATTTTGATAATAATGCTAAATATTTCAAACAGTTCATTGTTAACTTTTACCCAAATCAAATAGTAAGAAATGATGGTTAATATTCTATTAGATAATAATAATTTAAAAATATTGATTCCAACAATAAAACAAGCGAAAGAGAGAATTTGAGTCATATGGTTTTGATTTTAAAATTATTTTCTATTTATTAACACTACCAAAAACCTGCATCTATCGCAACGCAAACTAGCGACGATTTTATTTTATATTTATTAGAATGGTTAGGTATGAAACTGAGATCTGAATTATTTTTTTTGTGTGTTTATGCATGGGTATCTTAATTATCTCGAAATTGAGTGATATGCTTGTTGGATTACTCTCATCGAGATGCCCAATTCGACTATAAATATATCAAATTTAGAGTTTAATTAACCACTCAATTAATGATCCAAAGTCTCCAATTATGCTTCAACAGTTGGATATGGGCGTGAGACCAAAATTAAACTAATTTCGATTTCATTAGATTTATCTTGTTGGGATGATTAGTTTGAATGCCCTTATAAGAATCAGGTCCAAATGATCTCAATTTTTAATTTAGAATATTTCTATTCAAAAAATAAATTGAGATTCATGCCAATTAAAAATTTATTAAGGACACGTGCATAAACATGTGTGGCGGACCCTCAAAGTGGACAACAAATACTCCTGCATTGCATCATAAAAGATAAATTTACTCCATCTCCGCCTGGTTTAATTATATCCTAATTTTAATTAAAAAAGAGATCTCTTTTTTGGATTTTCAATGTTTCATTATTTCTCATCTGCTCATGATTGAAATTTAATTAGTTGGTCCAATCACTAAAATTTTTTTAACTGTGATTAATTTCTGCTAAGAAACAAGAAATGTCTCAGCCGCATGAACCAAAAACAATTTGAAATTTGATTTTATGGTGAAACGACTTTTAAAAAATTATTATAGTACTCTAATTAGAGATAAATACTAGGCGTGGACTTCGCATTCATGTGTGCTTCTTGTACAATCATATTATACATCGTTGTCAAGAAGTCCACAAACATACGAAGTTTGCACCTAATTCATGGCACTAAATCTAAACAGAATAACTATTACTAGCACAAGCAAAATACTTCATAAAATGGTTGACATGGATTTATCCTTAGGTCTCGTCGGCATCATGTTCTCAGTTCCAAGTGAACTGTGCACAATCATCTGCCTCTTCTTTAATCTATTTTTATATTTCAATTTAGCAAACGAGCACATCTGTATATTATACGTAATTCCTGAGGCCATAATCGTCACTTCTCCATTTCAATTACCACGTGCGGCGGGCTCTCGCCGCCGGCCACCGGGTTAACGGTGGCGTCCTTTTGGGCTTGCTCCTGCCGCTTGAAATGTGCGACGCAGCTAAACTCCTCGACGGCGATGGCCAATTGGCGGCCGGATTTCACCACCTCCGATAAGAGGGAGGCGGAGTTGGCTGACTGGAGAATATCCGGCAAAGAGGCATCTTTCGCCGGAGATAATGCGTAGAGGCTTCTGGAGGCTTCGGTGGCGCTTGATAAGTGCTGCGCTGCGGAGGTGGATGGTGACCTCATCTCTCGGATAGCTGTCGCCAGCTCCGCTAATGCTTTGCCGGTTTCGGTGCTCATCTCCGAGCATGCAGTTCGGATCCTTTTGCTGAATTCCGTATCCGTTATCACCTGTATATTTATTTATGATTAAAAAAAGCTTCTTTTTTTTTTTTTTTTTCTTCGATGCTAGTTGGCTAAATAGGGATGGTTGTTTTTTTGCTTCGATGCAAGTTGGCTAATTAGGTATGTTTGTCACTACTTCTTCCTTTCCTGCCTTTCATTGTCAATGCATCCAATTCAGTTTTTAAATTATGAAATTTACATACATACCACACAATTCTCATGTATTTACATATCTAACACCTAAAATTTATTATTTGCACTGATAATACATTAGCGCTAGAAAGATCTGCATTAAAAAGTGCATTCCACCTTTAAAATGGTGAAGCTGTTGATATTTTTAATATGACATTAAAAATTTGAATGGTATACATATAAATATGAACGCTTAAATGTTAGGGGTCTGAATACAAAAGAATTATGTGGTATGTATGCAGATGCCCAGGCTTATACATACATACCTCCCAATTCCTAAGTATTTACATTTTTTATCGCTAAAACATTTTCATTTTTATATTTATACCACCCAAATCTTTCATATCAAATAAAAATACCATCATTTTAATTTTTATGAGCTGACATGCACCTTTCATGCATTGGTAACCTGGCAAGTTAGTGAAAATTGAAATTTTTGTGTTACTTATATGTAAATACATAAGAAATGAGTGGTATGTATGTAAATCTTCCTAATAATAATAACAATAATAATAAAAGGTTGTATTCCCTAAACTTATTTTAGAGCATGTCATCTATATAACGAACGAAAGAAACCTAATTAATCAAATGACATGTTTCCCTTTTTTGTCAAGTAAAGATCTTTGTTCCGACTTTGACCTGTAAAAGCTGAATTTTTCAAGGGACATTTGAATACTTACCACACAATTTTTATAATGCATTTACATGTCTAACAACAAAATATTTATATTTATATTAGATCACTCAAATATGTAACGTCACATAAAAAATACCACCGACATTATTTTCTTAAAAATGAAATAATCTTTTCATTGTTGCACCGAGCCAAGGCGTTATAAATGTAAATATCAAACTTTGAATTTCAAATACGTAAATACACGAGAATTTTGTGGCATGCAGGTAAATTTCCTTTTTAAAAAAATTGAATATAAATTAATTTTTGTACAATAAAATTAAATCTATAAACTCTTATAAACAAAGTTCCTAAAGAAAAAAAATGTCAAAAGATATCGAATTTGCATGGGTTGTGGCATTTATAGCAAAGATATGAAGTCTAATTTTTTTTTTTTATGTTTTAAGTTTTTTTAATTTTATCCCTTAAAATAAAGTACAAAACTTAATTTAGTTTATAAATTTTAAGAGAATTAACAAAATTATTTTAATCTTATGATTTCTTCACCACTGAGGTCAACTACCTGGTTCTTTTTGGTGGTGGAGATGTGCGAGTTGAGGGCTTCTATTGAATAAGCACACTGACGAGTAAGTGCACCAAGCTTCGCATACTGCTGCCATGGATGACGGTAGCCAAACCGTCCATGTCCTGGCTCCCATCTTGCAAAATTTGCCTGAAGTAAAAGCCGTCAAGAATTTTTAGATTTAAAGGGGGATTTACATACATATACATAATTTTTATGACTTTACATATTACATAGGTAGTACTCGAAATTTTAACATTGGATAAAGAAACATATTTCATTTAATTACTATGTTTCATAACTTTATAATATTGTAAATGTAAATATCCAATTTTAAATATAAGTAGTAAATTTACAACAAAAGAGCTCTTTTAATGTTGCTGAAAAGATAATGATAAATGCAATTACCAACGAATCCTCAGTGGGCTTTGAATTAAGAACGCTTTTATAACATTTGAGGAAGGACGCTTCCTCCGAAATCTTATCAATATCCATTTTTTCTCCAAAGTACTCCTCTTCCAACCCTTAAAATGCCACCACACGGAAAATTAGTCAACAGCATAAAGTTAAAAAAATGATGAGTTGTTATTAATTAATTTAAAAATATATCGCTAAAAATACATTTTTAAGAAAATTTTCAGTTAGAACGGTTGCTGGAGGGACTTATTTATGTAAGTATGTGCAGACAACTGTAGACAAAAAGGATATGTCGCATTTAAATAAGTAAGGAAGGTTATAATGATGTGACCGTCTCATCAAGAGATATTTATAAAATTTGTAATATTCTGTCCAAAAGCAACCCTTTATCTTTTTGAGTTTCCCTCACGAATTTATCAAAATTAAAAAGGTTTGAAATTTAAATAAGCTTTTGATAAAATTATTATCTTTCTGATAAGGAAACTAAAATTATTGTTAAGATGATTGTGATCAATCAAATGTTTTCATGCTTGAGTTTTAAGAAAATTGTTTCAAAAATATTTTGATAGTATTTTTACAAGACATTTAAAAAGCCAACAAAAAAAAAAGTTAACTTACGGTTAGATTTTACCTTTTTCTTTTCAAAATATATTAAATATCACCTAATTTAAGTATTTTAATTTCCCAAATTAACTGCCCATATATCTTTCTGTCCACTAATAATAACAAGCACTGAGTGCATCGAACCTTCTAAGAAACAGGCCAGTTTATCAATATTAGCAGCCATGAGCTCATGTAGATCCTCTCCAGCCCACACTGGAAACACAAACATGGAGATTGCAAGACAAAGCCCCACCCCTATCCCTATTGTCGAAAGCCTCTGCAGCGCCAACTTAATCAGCTCCTCCTCTCTGTACCCCGACACCGCCACCAGGCTGAACGTCAGTATAAATATCATCACCCCGTAGTCATACCTCGCTTTAATCTCCGGCACAAACCGCGAAAATGTCGCCATGGCCGCTGCAATATTTGTAAAAAAAATTCAGTTTTGTTATATCAAAATTCAGTATTTTTTCAAAAATATTACAACTTGAGCCACTTCATCATAATTCATATTGGTCATTCAATCCTAAATGGGTTATTTTGTCCACAGTGACCATCAGGCAGAATTCCGCTTAAATTCCGAGTAAATCCTTAGCTAAATCGGCTACCTATTAGAAATACAAAGACGCTGAGAAGTATAGGCTCGCCGGTGGTGTGACCGGACAGCGCGTGTGCAAGACGCTGTGCGGCAAGGCCGAGCGCCCCGGCTATCAGCGTTGCGAATGTCCTGTTGAGACCTTTGCTCAGCGTGCCACCTGCTCAAAAAGGAGAGAACAAGACAGAAAATTCAATATGGTTAACTATAACTAGTATGCTACCTGTTCGACAAAATGCGGCAGCAAATTTTCTTAATATGTACCTGCGGTGTATTCCATGACGACGACGACGGTGAGGATAGCCCACATGGTGGATGAGGAGCCAAGACTGGTGAAGATAGGGTTGAGGTAGTAGAAGATGGAGATGAGAGAAAGCGCTAGCCCTACTTTGAAAGAGTGAAAGATTCTTCTGGGGTCGTCTTTGCCAATTTTCTTAAGCTTCTTTGCAAGCTCTGTTGCTCTGTATTTTATGTTTTGAAAAAAATGGATGCATGGGATGAAACCAGCGCTGTCATTGGTTCGAGCAGCAGCTTCCATGGCTTGATTTCTATGTGACTGACACAGGAATGGGATGCCTTCTGAATATGAAGGAGTGAAGATGTTGTGGGGATCGGTGGGGAAGCTTAATTTATATAGGAAGGTGATACAACAGAAGTCAGCGATATTTGATAATTCTGTCTTGTGTGTTTTTTTTCTGTATTATGACGTACAGAAATATAGTTGCTACGGGCCTTACTTTTGGGGATGGTGAAGTTCATGGAGTGGTCTCAACTGATCAGCGGATTCAGATCCAACACAAAAATTGCTCAATAAATAAATATATAATTAATCTATTTTTACTCATTAACTAAACACATATCAAATTCATAAATCGTATCAGACCTCGAATTGACCTGATGCAGCATGCATGAAAAAATATTTATGCTGTGATGAATTACTTGAAAAAAATGGGAGAATGCTACTAAAAATATTAAACAAATGTATCAAAAATTTTAAAATTGTTACTAAAATACTGTAAAGACTTCTTTTCTCAATCTGGTCCAAAATAAATAACATTTGGATACATGTTCTTATAAGGTTTTAATTAAAAAAAAAGACTTTATATATCATTTTCACTAAGGTAGTTATTATTTTCAGGCTGACCAAAACGCAATTGCTTGAACAAGACTAGAATTCTTATACTAAACTTTGAAATTTCATGTCGGCTTTCAAATGAGCTGACCAAGCTGGGCCATATTTCGATTCTGTGCAATAAAAATTAAATCTTGCAAATAAAGGTAAAGACTTGATTTAATTCGTAATTTGGATCAATCTGTGCATGAATTTTGTTTCAATATGTCCATGGAATGGCGAGGTATGCTGCCATGGTAAGCAACTTAAGCTATGGTGGATGCATCCAATTTTAGAAAAGTAATTAAGAGCGGACAAGTTGTATTATTTTTATGTGCTGAATTGAATAAACCGCGGAGTACTTTTTACCCACCCTATTTTTCTTAGTGCAACGATGATGTTCTGTACCTCTGAGCTATATATATTTTATTGCCTGAAGGTAAATATTTCAAATTTTAGCATCCAATTGGCTTACGTGCGATTGTAATAATGAGAGAAGACATACATTTTGCAGCTATTATTGACATATATGTACCATAAAGGTTTGCTGTACTCATGGAACATGTTCGTTGCATATTAAATATATGGTTTAAATAAAAAGGGAAGTTTACACACATACCACAAATATGTGGTTTAAATAAAAAGGGAAGTTAACACACATACCGAGTAATTCTTATGTACTTTCTTAGGTATGTAAATGCACCTTGAAAAAAACTACCAGCCAAAATATTTAGCCAATGATTCTATCATTGAAATAGGATGAAAAAAGAAGAGGACCAGTACATTTAACAAAATATAAGAGATGAAGTACGAAAAATTAGGGCATGTTTTTGTTCTATTGAACTATGATAAAAGAAATATGCATTTGCAACTAAGCTGAGGCCTAGAACCTATTTTTCTACTTAGGGTATTATACTGCACCTATCTAGGTGCGGTGACAGCTTTCTGGTTTCTTGCATCGGTCTGGCTTTTCCAAGAAAATAAAAATTTCTAATAGTCACCGCACCTAATTTATCAGCAGATTATTTTTAATCAGCTTATCAGCAGATTATTCAATAAGCTACAGCTGCCCCAAATATAGAGTTGATTAGTTGAGATATTACAACTTAATTTAATATTTAAAATTTAAAATTTTTTAAAATGATAAAATTTTAGGATATAATTTTCTCAAATCTTTATATTTCTTTTTTGCCAATTAGTGCACATGAAAAGTTTCGAGTTATTAGTTCAGTTTAGATAATTACAATACAATAGTTAATGAATGAATTTTATATTATATCCACTTCAGAATAATAATTATTAAGCTTTTCTTGTTAAAAATTTATGAGAAAATTTGTGACAAAAAATTGATGATGATACAATATGTGAAATATATAATATATAACAGGGGAATTTATATACATACCATATAATTTTTTTGTCTTTACATTTGTGTTTATGTTAATGTATATATAGATATGTATGTATGTTGATGTATATAAAGATATGTATGTATACATACATACATACATATACATGTGCGTGTGTCTATTTATATATATATACATACATACATACATATATTTTTAATCAGCTTATCAGCAGATTATTCAAATAAGCTGAATCTGCCCCAAACAGATCCTTAAAGTTGATTAGTTGAGATGTTACAACTTAATTTAATATTTAATATTTAAAATTTTTTAAAACGATAAAATTTTAGGAGATAATTTTCTCAAATCTTTATATTTCTTTTTTGCCAATTAGTGCACATGAAAAGTTTCGAGTTATTAGTTCAGTTTAGATAATTACAATACAATAGTTAATGAATGAATTTTATATTATATCCACTTCAGAATAATAATTATTAAGCTTTTCTTGTTAAAAATTTATGAGAAAATTTGTGACAAAAAATTGATGATGATACAATATGTGAAATATATAATATATAACAGGGGAATTTATATACATACCATACAATTCTTATGTATTTACATTTGTATTTATGTTAATGTATATATAGATATGTATGTATATTGATGTATATAAAGATATGTATGTATATATACATACATACATACATGTGCGTGTGTCTCTATAAATGTCACTCCTAATATGTCTATCAATTCGAGTACCACGTTCTTAAGGCCAACTATGTCAGAGGGGACTCGAATCCCATACTTGAAGGGTCTTACACCGAAGATGTCAACCAACATATATAACTTAAAACCTTAGTATCATATAAAAATATCACTATTTTTAATTTTTTGAAAGTAAACTACACCTTTTCATTTTTACATTTATGACATTAAATTGTTATATATATATATATATATTAAAAAGGTAGATCGATTGTTGATCAACCCCATAGTCTGACCGAGGGGCGGACCCCCATTCCAGAAGGTGTACAATTCGATCATACACAAGGATCGAACCCACCCCCAACTCGAGGGACTTACACTAAAAGCCACAACCAATGAGTCAGGCTAACACACACGTGTGTGTGTGTGTGTGTGTGAAAGCTAGTTGTATGGTATGAATGTAAACTTCTGTCAATATAAT